AATGGAAAGTGGTCTTTCCTTGTGCAAGCGTTCAATTTTCGGTAATCAATGCACACCCTACATCCGGTGATTACTCTTGTAGGAATAAGCTCATTCTCATCATTCTCAACCACCGTAACTCCAGATTTCTTAGGTACTACTTGCGTGGGGCTAACCCACTTACTATCGACAATTGAAAAAATGATCCCCACATCAAGTAGTTTCAGAACCTCATCTTTACCACCTCCTTTATGATGGGATTCAACTGCCTTTGTGGTTGTCGGGAAGGTTTGGAATCCTCCTCAAGATATATGCGATGGGTGCAAATGAGAGGGCTTATCCCCTTGATATCCGCAATGGTCCACCCAATTGCTCCTTTATATTTTCTCAACACCTCCAAGAGTTCTTTTTCTTGTTCCATGTTTAATGTAGAGCTAATGACCATCGAAAATGTTTCACCTTCCCCAAGATAGGCGCACTTCAAATGGGTGGGCAAGGGCTTCAACTCCAAGTTGGGCTTTTGTTCAACCGACGGAAAAATTTTCTTTTCTCGATGGGGTAACTCTTCGAATGTAGGGATCCACCTTTCCATCCCTTTCAAATATTCTATCTCCTCTTGCTCATCATAATTCTCAAGATCCACAATTTCTTCTTCCTTAAATTTCAATATCCCCTCCAGCTCCAAGTGCTCCTCAACCAAAGTGTCGATTCTATTGACCTCACTTACTTCCTCATCATCACCCGATTGCTTTATCAAGTTGAATACATTGTGCTCCATTGTCATATTCCCAAATGCCAACTTCATTAGACCGTTCCTGCAATTTATCACGACATTAGATGTAGCAAGGAAGGGTCTTCCAAGTATTAAGGAAATTTGGGAGCTAAGGTTTGCAACAGGATGTGTATCAAGCACAATGAAATCGACAGGGAAGTAAAATTTATCAATTTGAACTAAGACATCCTCAACTACTCCCTTTGGTGTACGGATACTACAATCCGCCAATTGAAGTGTGATTGAGGTGGACTTCAACTCCTCAAGCTGCAGCTATTGGTACACCGAGTAGGGAAGAAGATTCACACTTGCCCTCAAATCGAGGAGTACTTGTTCCACTCGATAATTTTCAATGGTGATGGCTATGGTTGGACAATCTTTGGGTCCTTTGAGCTCATTGCTCGGTGAGGAATGCTGTGGACATTCAGTCTCTGTGCATAAGTCTTGCACATCTTGATGAGGAGTGGAATGTTAATCTTCACCTGCAAAATATATCAGCATAATTAGCCACATTGACAGGTGGCTTCAAACGACTTGGGAAAGGGGCAGGCATGGGAGGAATAAACACACAATCATCAATTAATTTTTCTTTCTCAACAACCTCTCTTTCTTTCTCTTCACGCACCTCACTCTTGTCGGCGTCACCCAAGAGATCTTTTTCTTTTGGCAATGTGGTCTTAGGTGAGACCATTGGCAAAATGGTTTTGTCAATTTATTTGCCACTGCGGAGGGTGGTGACAGCTTTGAGTTGCTCGCAACTCTCTTTCGAAGGTTCCGATGACTCAACAAGGTGTTGACCCCTAGGGTTCTCTTGTGGTTGAGCGGAGAACTTCCCTTTTTCTTGTTGAGATGCCCCTATGGAGTTTGTCAACTTTGTGAGTTGGGCTCTTACATCATTGATGATTGTGGCATTTTGGTTATTGATGGCGGTTTGGCTTTGAATGAAGGAATGAACCATATCCTCCAAATTCCTTTTATGAGGAGATTGGTATGTGGATGGATTGGACGGTCCTTGAGAAAAACTTTGTGGAGGTGGATTTGGTGAAAAATTCTGTGGTGGTGGGTTTGACGAATACCCTTGTGGATTGGTCCAGGGGTATTGAGAGCTAGATGCTTGCCCTTGGCCATGGTATTGGTTTTGCTTGGGAGGTATGGAAGATGCATATGCACTTTGAACCATGAGGAATGGGGTTTTCATTTCTCCAACTAAAATTTGGGTGATTACTCCAACCCGGATTGTAAGTATTTGAATTGGGAGAAAATGATTGCCTCATTTGGTTGAAGGCATGGACTTGTTCATGGTATCCTTCTTTAAGGGTCGGAATGTTTGGGCAATTCGATAGGGAATGCTCCATACATTCACAAATTGAACAACCCTCCTCGGTTCGTGACATATTAGACACCTCGTGTCTCTTATTGACTTCAAGACTCTCAACTTTCCTTGACAATTTAGCAAATTTTGAAAACAAGTCTTCCCGGTCTCTCAAATCATAAATCCTTCTCCCTTGAGTTTGGCCACTCTTTTGAGAAAAAGACCTTGGTACATCGGTGGGATCTTTAAAGTCCCATGATTGTGCATTTTGTGCCAATGTATCAAAGTAATCTAAGGCCTCATCAGGGTCTTTGTTCAAAAACTTCCCATTACACATCATGTCAATGAACTGTCGATGGCCCGGTGTGATTCCTTCATAAAAGGAACTCACCAATTGCCATGGTTCAAAGCCATGATGTGGAAGGGATTGTAGCAATTCCTTGTACCTCTCCCAACATTGATAGAATTGCTCATTAGGCTTTTCTGAAAAGTTTTGAATTTGCTTTTTTAGGGCGGTGGTTTTATGCACTGGAAAGAATTTGTTCAAAAACTCAGAAATCATTTGGTTCCATGATGTGATGGTTCGAGGCCTTAAAGAAATAAGCCACGTTTTTGCCTTGTCTTTTAGGGAAAAGGGAAACAATTTCATTCTATCTATCTCTTCCATCCCATGATTGGGAAGGAAGGTTGCAACTATTTCCTCAAAATCCCTTATATGTGAATAGGGGTTCTGAGTTTCAAGTCCGTTGAACGTGGGAATTAGTTGCAACATCCCTGGCTTAACTATGAAAAGATGAGCTTGGACTGGAAGGAGGATGCATGATGGTGTGGTGCTTCGTGTTGGTTGTAGAAAATCCCTCATTGACCTCACCGGGGGATCCATTTGAAAATTATTCCCCTCATTCACGGGAAGGAGAAAATTCATTCTCGGATTGGGTATTTGGGGTTCTTGTGGTCCCCCACCCCTTTAGACATTTGGATTTGCACCTATATTATCAAAATTGTCACCCGCATCCTCGGGTTGTTCTTAGTCAATATTCATGGTAGGGGCCAAGTTTTGTCTAACAAGTCGGTTTCGGTCGTTCCGCCTCCACATAAAATAAAATATATACAAACAAAGTTATACACAAACAAGATTATGTACACGGAACAACGTACCTCAGCCCATGATGAAGATCATGGGACTCACCTCCGTCGTCCGAAAATCACCTTCTTGGTTTGGCACTTGCCTTCTCCGGCAAGGGCGCCAAAAATGCTTGAGAAAATTCCTTGTTGTTTCCTAACCTATAAACATCACCTTTTAGCATGTATAGTATATGAATGAAGGGAAGTGTCACTCTCCTAGGGATGATGTCAAAAGAAAGGGCAACAGAATGGTGGATGAATGAGATTTCAAATGTGAGTATGTGTGAAAAAAGTGCTCCCCAAGCACAAGAAGACTTTCACGGATCGTGTTTTACTTAGTGGTATTCCAAGGTCGTTTCCACGGGAAAGGAAGTAAACCGAGGGGAAGGTAATTTTGGGAGAAAGAAAGTGTAAAATCTTTGATTGTTGGAAGTTGTTTGGTGAAGTTGTTTTGATGCTAGTAAAATGAGAAACAAATGTTGGCAAATCCAAGAGGTCACTCCAATAGGAATACCGTCTCAACTCAAAACCCTCCTCCAATAGAGCATGAATGAACGATTGATTCATGGGAAGCTAGGGGTAAGATTGGTGAGTATCTAAGCATAAACCGTGACTAGGCCTACGGAATATCAAAGACTCACCAAGTTATCGACTCTCAACCCAGTCAAACCGAACCATTGAACTCTGAAAGAGGGGAGGAGAATGAGTTAAAATGGTATACCCAAGTGGAGGTTCCTCTTGGTTTTGCCAACTAAGAGATTTAGCTATTCATGCTTAAAATAAAGACAACAATATGATAAGAAGACATTATGAAGAAATAAAGACTAGAGCTAAGCTTAAACGAAATGCATAAATATAACTTTCGGATAATCACCTCTTACTAAAGATTGGATGAGAAACTACTCACTCTTCATGGTTTTGTTAAAGCTAAAAAATTGAGTGATGCTCATCCCTCCAAGTAGAGGAGTTACAAGGTAAAACACTTTACACAAGGAGCCGATCTTCGATAAAGAATGAGTGAATCACGTTCCACCCTTCACGACTTTGGTAAAGCTCTAGAAAAGTGGAAGAGTTTCACTCCTCTAAGGGAAGAAGGAAGCTCAAGCAATGGAAATAAAAGAAAGCAATAACATAATAAAAGAAAACAATACTTAAAGAAAGCAATAAGCAATAAGGAAAGCAATAATACTTTTGGAGGGTTTTTCACTACCAAAAGATGAATGTTTTACAAGTCCTAAGGGGTGGTATTTATAGGCAACAAGGGAGGGTGAAAGTCTTGTTAGGTGGCCTTGAATCTTGTTATGTGGACTTGAAAAGTCTTATTAGGTGGCTTTGAATCTTGTTAGGTGGACTTGAAAATCTTGTTAGGTGGCCTTGAATTCTTTGATCCCCCTTTGTTTTGAACTTTGATAATTGGCACCCCAGTAGTTTGTAGCTTTAACTTACAAAATCCTGAAAAGAACAACAATTTATGTATTATCCTTTATTCACACACTAATTCTAATTTGATTTATTTTGACTAGTTTAACTTTATTCAACTAACACAATTTATCTATTAAATTATGCCTTAATTAGGGTTAATCACTTAATCTCACCTCTAAGACATCCTCGTAAAGGACGATCTCACCAGAGGAGTCATAACACGTGGGCTCATCCTCCTTTGCCCGATGACACATGATGGCAGGAGGAATTCGAGCGACATCATCATCACAGTCGATAAAGCTAAATATGAAAGTTACCTTCAAACAGTTATCTCCCGCAGTCCCCTTGCCTCTCTGGATGCTTGGTGTAGCCTCCTTCATTACGTCTTCCTCAAAGCGAGTACCTGCCCAAGTCAGAACCAATATCAAAGCCAAAGTCTAGAAAATACTTGCGACGAAGTAGTGTTGCCACGAGTAAGGAACAAATAAGGAAGCAAGATCGTCTTACCTTGGGAAAAAGTATGGCGCACACCTTCCCTGGCAAAACCAAGTACGTTGTTTCAACTTCTCAGAACTGGGTACCCCCTATGAGCACTGGGCACCCTACCATCTGGGCTCCGTTTACTTGAGTTGTCGCTCGAAACCTTACGCTTGTTTGCACTAGAGCCTAAGGCGCTATTAGAACATGGAGTGCTGCCTATCATGTCACTGTCCCCCGGGGCATTATCAACAGCAATAGCCTCACCCCCGTGGCCTGGGGTGTCATTTAGGCCTGATCTAGGACTGGCTCCTAGCGTTGGGACCTCGCATGGAGTACCTACAACGTCGTTGCCTACGGAGGCGCCACTCCTCTTCACGTTCGGCTTCTTATCAACCACACCGAATCCAAACCTAACGTCGCCCGTTGTTGCTCCAGCCGAAGACCTCAATCCGCAAAAGCTGGCGCTGCCCGCCTTGCTTCTAGCGTCGCCCATCTAAGCCCTGTCTACCCTATTGGCACCATATATGCCTCCTGTGCAGCTTAACACCTCGTTGGCGCCGCCTTGGCCCCAGCGCCACCCAACACCTTGCTGGCCTCGACCCTAATGCCCCAACTGACATCACCTACTGGGTCAGAGCCATGCGTCGCCTGGGCTTCGCTTGGTGTTGCCCATGGCTTCACTAAGCCATAACCCTGAGTTGTGCCTAGGTCCACTAGGCCAATTGTCCCCTTCTATCTGAAACCGCCATTGATACCTCCTAACATTGTCTCCAAACTCCTCCTCTTCAATTTTAGCTCCACCGTCTTCCTCTATTTCTTAAAGGTAGAAAGATTTGGAACCCTAGGCTCAAGGAAAAGCTTCAAGAAGAAAAAGGGGAATGAATAGAGTAAAAGAGTTTGAGTGTTTCTATATATATATATATATATACATACATACATACATACATATATATAGCTCTTTAACGGGATATTTTCCTAAAAAGCAAGGAGTTTCTTCAAGATTGATAAAGGACCTAGTGAAAGAGATGTGGATGAATGTAGAAAATGCCCAGTGATGATGATTTCAATTCAGGAAAGAGATTTCGCAGTTTATGAAGATGGAAAGGCCACCGTGTGGAACAAGAAAACTTTTGCTCGTTCAAGCAAGGAAGACACTCATGCCCTTAACCCTATTCTCTCGCAAACAATCGGGGATTGGGGCATGGGGACAAATGATGAACCTAGAATCAGCTGGGTCAAGCCCAATAAATTAAATGGACTTAGTTCAGCTAAAAGGATCCTTCAAGCCCAGTTCGTGGATTCAACCCAGTTCCTCGATCCAACTCAATCAAGAATTCGAGGAGTCCAAGAAGATTATAACATGTAGAGAGCAATCATTGGAATACACACTCTCGAAAATGTAGGCAATTTTTAATTGTACTTACCTTTTGTGGCTATCCTCCCTAAAGGGTTAGTGCCTTTACCCTCACGTCACTACCTCAACTAAGACTCTTTGCCTATAAATTGTAAGTTCTCTCTACATGAGAGAACATCTCTTTACACACCCCTCACATAGCTATTTCTCTCTCCTAGCTACCATACCTCTCTTGGAACTCACCTTCTCTCTCTCTCTCTCTCACCTTACTTTATTAATAAAGGTTCTCCGGCCACCGTTGTTGTTTTTGGGGTGGAGTTGGTCCGCCTGACCGAACTACTATACATCTGTGTGTTGACCCGATATTTATCTTTTATTATTAATTATTTATTGATTGCCTCATTAGTTATTATAAATCACATACTCGACTGTTGATTGTGCATAAACTTGTTTCGTGCATCATCAAGTGTCATTGCTAATGCTTTACTTTAAGATGTTCACATGGTTGATGATGGGGTGGATTCTGAGGACAATTTGCTTCCTAGTTTTTGTGCATATAGCGAGAAAGTTTTGTTAACATCTGGTTGTGAAAACGAAATAAGACATGAAGGTCATAATTTGAAGGCTGTGTGACATAGTTTTGTAATGCTCTATGCAAATATTCGATTGAGGTTGGGTTCAAATTTAATTATGTGAAGAATTGTAAAACCAGGGTTACAACAAAATGTTTGTTGAAATACTTCACTGGATGTGGCTAGTTTGTCAAGGCTAGTGTTCAGAAAGTTAATAGTTTTTTTTCTTTTACATAAGGAAACTATGGAGCAAACACACATGGGAGGTATGTCTACATACAACAAAAAACAAGAGGATGTCTACTAATTTGATTGCAAATTTAATTGTTGATGAAGTTTGTGAACAATCTGTTACTTGTCCAAGTCCTGTGGTTTCTGAATTATGTTCTTCTTATGGTTTTATGATATCATATGATAAAGAATGGATGGGTGTGGAAAAAGCAAAATAAATAGTATTTGGGGATCACTCTTTGTCGTACCAACAACTAAGTTGGCATGTCGATGCTGCGAATAACACAAATCTTGACAACTATATAGTTCTAGATTGTGATGAAGAGACAAACCGGTTCTATAGGTTATTTGTATCACTCAAGGCTTGCAAGTGTGGATTCGGCGAGCTCAACCTCTCCAATGTGCCCAGCGAGCATGAGGACTGAAGAAGGAATGAAGTAGTAGAACACGTGTGAGCATCAACAGTAAGGCACGCATGATCTGTGCTTTGGCTTCCTCCCTCCATGTCCAACACCTTCTTTCACCACCACCACCCACACCACCCAATACTCTTTGCTTCACCTTCGCCACTACCAGACTCCGGCGATGGACCACTGTCTGAACTAATGCTTACAGACACCCCTCCCTTTCTCTTAATGAATCTTTTCTCTTGCTCTTTTGTTTTCAATTGTTTGGAGAAAACAATGAGAGATTGCCTAGTGGAGGGACTCTAATGATTTGGAGCACATTTGAAAATACTAAATTTTTTTCAGATATTCCACTATGATTGAGTTGCTTAAAGCATCAAACAAAACATGTTGAACACTCTATGATCTCACCTACATATATAAATCATAATCTTATCGTTAACATGTTGATTTCTTTGGAGAAGGGGAAAGATCTCGACATAATTGAAGTGATGGTGGCCTGGGGCTCACTCCTATTCGTAAGTGGTCATGGGTTCTGACTTCATCCATCACTCATTCCCTTCCTCTCTCTTAAAAAAAATAATTAAAAAAAAGTCTCGGTTCTATTACACAATACTGATACTTCCTACTTGAAGAGTTGTTCATCCAATGACACTGAATTCACACATGCTCATATCTATTATGTGAATCTCTGTTACTTAATTTGTTGTTCTGTAAAACTTATTATTGTGGGCCTGTGGCTCTATTGGTGGGGCCTTCGGGTTGGACTGGAGCTAGATTTTCTGGACTGCTATTTTCACAGAGCTTGACCCTAGTCCATTTAGCATACTGGGTAAACAACAAAAGACTGCAGGTCTGGGACGCAATACCGCAGATCAAGCCTATCCACAGGCCCTGGAAAATAGATTTAGAAACGTCACTACTGTAACATGGTATCACCATCAAATGAAAATATAAATACATAAATAAAGTGAACTCTATTTTTTAATATTGGTGGAGTATTTGAATAAAAATAAAGTAAATTTTTATTATTTATCTAATTTATATTGCAATATTTTCACTTTTTTTTTTTATTTTATTTTAACTTGCGTATACAGATTTATTTATATGTTTATAGACAGTTACAAAGCCTTTAAAATAGTATATAAATAACGACAGTGCTAAGTGGGCTTAACATGGTGATAATTAGTGGCCCATAAATTGAATAATATTCATATTCATTATGACAATTATAACGCTGCTTTAATTGTGTTTTAAGTTATAAAATTGATACTTAATGGGTGTCTAACAGTAACTCTTTCAAGCCTATATATAGAGAGAATTATGACCCATTTCAAGTGCAGTACAAAAAATATAACAGTTATATGTTTATATTGTCTTTCGCTAAATGTACTCTACAATATAATTTTATGGGCAAAGATTGATGTGTGTGTAAAGCTTCTACTTCTCAATGTTGCGTAAACTTAGAAAAATTACAATGAGTAATTGGGTTGTTATATTCTGGACGCGGCATAAGGTCCCTATAGCATTGTTCATATTTTAAATGTAAAAGTGTGAACCGTCTTAAAGAGATCAACTTAGTCCGCACTTTAACTCACGTTTAATACTTTATTGGGTGTGAAATCTATCATTATTTTCATATTCAACGTTTTTATGTTTATATAATTTGACAGATTTATATTTATTTTAAATTATTTTTAGATCTAATTCCAACAATATCAGACAGCTAGATTACATGGACGGGTAATTACTAATTTGTGTAGGATCTATTTGTACATTTGTTTATTTTTCATTGAATGGTGAGATCACGTGACAGTGATAACGTGATATAATCGTTATACTAAATATTTTCTCCATAAGATGGGTTAGAATAAAATGTTAGTTAAGAGAAAAAAGAAAAAGGGAAAAAAAAAAATTAGGAGTGTGGCCCACAATTTGTGCATGTGGATAAATTATTTGACAAATTGGTTTGAATAGGTTCATGTATTTTACTAATTATAATTCTATTGCCAAAAAACTCTTATTAATAGATAAACAATCTAAGATTTAGCCCTGAATAAATTTGACCGTGTAAACTTTATTCTTCCTCCATTCTCCAATACTTTTTGAAAATTTTGAAGTTTTAAAGGTTTGATTTCACAGAGTTTGAGGAGTTTTATTGAAAATTTGGATTATTTCATGATTTGAATATAAAGTTCCAACTTTTTAAAAAATTTTGTTGAGAAATGAAGGAATGTTTGTCTCGAAGACTCAAAGATTGAGTTTGAGCAAGAAATTACAACCAGTATTCGAATTCAGCCCGTTATAACCAAGCCAAAAAATAATTAAGTTTGACAAGCTCGACACAATTAATAGCCTTAACCTTCATTAGATAAATGTTTGCATGAATGCATGTTAGCCTGCAAATGAAAAAAAATAGTATCTGTTACCTTAGTCCGTAGTTTCAACTTGAAACCGAGAATGCCGGCAATCGGCATGCCAATGAAGAAGAACATCGTCAAATTAATGTATGTCGCGAAATACTGCCAGCCGCAACCTCTGGCCACCCCTGCATTATTCCGATGAATTCAGCCGGAAAAATACGCAATCATCAGAAAATTTAGTATTCATTGGTGTAGTAACGAAAGTTACTCTAAAATATTATTCCGATGGAATTATGATAAAATTTTAATAGTTAAGATCATTTTAAAATCGATCTCAATTTATTAGCGGGTAAGTTATCATTTAGTATTTACCACTCGATTCAAATTGAGTTGCAACGTCACTAGAATATTTTGTCGTTACTTTCAGTACGATATCTACTGCTACTGAAATTATACCTAGTAAGACACCTTTAAGAGAATCGAGCATTATGGAGATTACAAGCAGTGGTGTCATTGTCCCAAATTTCTTTACAATATCCGAGCTGTGACTGTAGAAGCCTGCCCATGTATCATGACCAAGAACTAGAGCCAGCACAACAGCAAGAGCAAGAAGGACAGAGAGCTTGAGGGCGACAGACATGGCATTCTTAGCTCGATTAGGGTTGTCTGCTCCCAACTCATTTGCCACCCTTGTACTATGTTGAAAACAAGTTGCCATTATTCAGTAGCTTAAAACAAAGAAAAGAGGAATACTATTTTGACCCAATTTGGGAACTTAATTCATTATAGTGATTATATCAGTTGTGAGATCATTGTTAGATAGATCCAGTTTCCATCCAACAATTTTAATGGATCATAACTCCAAATTAAGTCCCGAATTAGGTATAAATAATATTTTTTTCTAAAAAAAAAAAAGAAATTGGAAAAAATAGGAAACTGGGATTTTTTTTTTTTTTTTTTTGTTTAAACAGCTAACCTTGCAGCAGCACAGAAGCCATAAGTGGTCATGTAGGTAATTGATTCTGTGTTTACACTGAAGATATAAGCAACCCAAAAGAACATTAACATCAACTTTAATGAACAAGTCTAGATAGAGAGAAGGTGAAATCACAAGTGTTGAAAGCAAAGGAACCTTAATTTAATTACCAAATTGCAACCAACGAAGTAGTTACTTTCGAGTTTGGCATCAACCCCGCTAATAACACCAGAAGTTCATAAGCCCAATATTCCAAACTATTAAAGATAAACATGTGTCAAAATTAAAATATAATTCGTAAGTAAAATGTATGGTTAGGTCAAGGTTCATGCTAGGGCATACCTAAAATGGGTAATGTTACTTGAAGTTAAAAAGTAAACTTAAAAATTAGACTTGGTAATCTCAACCATTGATTTCACTGTGGCTTCCAGTATTTATTGAGACTCACTACCTATTCAATGGTTGAGATTATTAAGTCTAATTTTTAAATTTATTTTTTAAATCCATGTAGCATTACTCCACCTAAAATATGTTTAAATGCACTTATTTCATGCCCAAATTTTATTTTTAGGATTATTTGAACTTTTGATTCTTAAAGTATGTATTTTTGTCAGTTTAGTACTCATTCTATCAATTTTGTTAATTTAGTTCTTAAAGTATTTAATTTTTGTCATTTTAGCCCCTACATAAACAGATTGTTAAGTTTTTGATGGAATGATTTGTGTTGAGCACATGATATTGTCTAAAAAAATAACACGTGATCACTTCCGTCAAAAAACTTGACGGATTGTTTGATTAGAAACCAAAGTGACACTAATTGAATATTTTAGAGACCAAATTGACAAAATTGATACAATGAGTACTAAACTAATAAAAAATGCATATACTTTAGGGATTAAAAGCGCTATTATCTATTTTTTTAAGTATAAGAAATTAAGTGAGCAAAGATGAAGTGTAAGAATAAGCTTGACAATTTCTAGAAAGCTTATTATTCAGTAACAACAATAAAACAGAAGGTGAGAAACATAACAATTTGAGTGGTAATGTGATATTGGAGGCATAGGTGAGGGGACCCAAGTGTAATTTAAAAAACAAACTTACCATATCATAGCCGCAGAAGGTAGGGCTAGTTTCAAGTTGATCAGAACATAATGAAATGAGTTCAATGAAAACCCATCCCATGTCCTCTCAAACCTCTTCCCATACAGAACATATATCGCCACCACAAAGACTGAGATCCACAGTGAAACCGAGACCGCCATTGCCGCTCCCTTGAAACCAAGAGCTGTCTTATGAACCAATACATAAGTAATCCCAATGTGGAAGATCAGTGGGATCACTGAACACGGAATCAATGGCTTCACCACCGATTGTGCCTGAAGAAACCTCAGGATGTTCTCGAGAAAGCCGTAGGCGAATAACCCTGGAATGAGGTACTTCAAGTACAGAGCAGCCATTTCTGATATATGAGGATCTTGATGGAGGAACATGAGAATGGGTCCGGAGTAGAACCAGGAGACAGAAATGAGGATGGAGAAGAAGAATGATATAATGCAAGATGCCTGCAGGTGTATTCCCAGCATCCCATATTGTTTTGCTCCATAGCCTTGCCCGCACAGTGTTTCAAGTGAACCACTTAGTCCACTCTATTTAAAGATCATAACATTTGATAAATTGTTGTGCAGAAAGAATATATCATAGTAACTGTGTTTCGATGGGACATGTAATATGACACAAATTCGCTAATAACTAACATGAAAATTGGTTAGATTAGTAAAAAATACCACTGATGATGGTGTGTGAACTCAAAGCGTGAGTTTAATTCTTAGGCTGAGGAGCTGTGGGTATGGAAATCGTTTGGCAATTGAGCTTGGTGGCTCTGGAATTTATGATAGTAATGTGACTAGTGAAGATAAGAGCTAAGTATATAATAAGAATATATAAATTATAATGGTTCACCGGCCATGAAACTTAGCTTTTTCACTCTAATGGAGTCTCTTGTTCCTTAGCATTTTATATTACTTGGGGGAGAAGCAGGCAGTTACAATCTTGGAGATTGCAATAAGGTTTTTTAATCTAATTTGTGCGAGGGATTCACTCTGTATTTATAACTTCGTTAAGAGTGGTCCTCACATAATCATTCTTAAGTTATTAGGATTTGTTAAAGGAATATTTAGTCGTTAGAGACTATATTCTCTACGTGTGACGTAATATTTTAGAACCTGGTAGCGAGGCATCTGGTTCCTTCCCCCATGTCTGAGCGTGATCAAGTTCTTTGCCCATGTGAGAGGTGCTGCTGGTGGGATGAGCAAACTCTTTCTCTGAGGATGAGCTTGCCCTCATATCTTGACGTGACATGGGAAATCTTTGCCTAGAGCTTATTTGGGTGAGGCCCAGCCTGCATGGGCTGGACGACCTTCCCGGTCTAGATCAGTGGTAAGACCTTGATTCTTGGGCTCTTTGGCTATGATGTTGTTAGGATGTGTCGTTCGTTATTTGTCGCTATTATTTTTGATATAATCAACGAGTAAACTGATTTCAATATAACAAATGATTAGTTCAATTGGCATATTATACAGATAATGTCTAGTTTTGTTTTATTTGTATTGTTTGGTCTAGTATTTTATGAATCTTTGCATAATCAGAGAATTTTTTTATATATATACTTGATTTTGTTATATTACGTTTGTATGAGACTTGGAAATTAAATGGATACATTACTAAATAATGCCTACATCAATTTTTGATTTATAGTGATAAAATTTCATTCTCATTATCACGTAATGCCTAATTCTACAAATGTATGATTAATCATCAAATATAAGACAATATTGCCCCATTATCACCCCCATCGTCACCACCTCCACCATTCCACCACCATCCTATCATCGTAGCTAACCATAGTACCATCCTCTCCCAACAATCAATGCCACCCTCACGACCACCCCACTGACCAGCTTACTGCTACCTTCTCATCATCCCACAACCGCCTTATCGTAGTGGGATGGAGGTGGTGGTGGTTATGAGATTAAAGGAAGTAACTATAATTGCTGTAACATCATCTCATGCATTTCAACTAAATTTTATTTACTTCAGTGGAAAATAAAAATAATTTATCCAACAGCAAATGAATTGGCAATTTTATTATGACACTTAATCACATTTATTGTCAAATATCGAAATAGTAATGTATTCATTTCATTCTCAAGTTAATTACGTTTTCACCTTCATTCCATTCATACCAGGAACAAACCCAAGATTCTATATCCGAAGAGAGCTTAAACAATAGCATCGTTAAGAATTTTATTAACTGGATAACAAGTTATACAAAACCTATCAAAATGAACTTTGATACAATACCATTGTAAAAACTAGTTTGGATCACAAAATCCAAAGATCGGTTTTTACTATCTTCAAAATTAGTTTATGACAGTGTCATAATACTTTTATTCTCACATTATGATATCATGCAATTATTTGGAATAAATTATCCTCATAAATAATAGTTTCGCACGATAAGATGGTAGAAGCGGATACTGAGTTAACACATTACTATTGATATAAGCTACATTTGTGATCTAATTTTGCAAAAAAAAAAATCACACTTTTTTAATTTCCTTTGGTCATCAAACTCACCCAACCAAATATCTTTAGCAATAAAACCATCACTCATCCTATAGCCCCATTTAGCTAATAAATATCAATTTCGTGGTCTTTTCGAATGCACTAAATGAATTGTCTATATATAAAGTCTTTTAGAAATCTACTGGAATACATAAAATTTTTAAAAATACTTTTGGGGTATTATAGATATTTTGAAATGTGTGGGGGCATGGCCCCTAAGCTCAATGGCAGAGCCAGATGGGGGTCCGGGTGGGCACTGACCTAGCCTCCATTTAAAAAAAAAAATTATGTATATTTATATATTACTTATTTTTCGAGAAAAAAATTGTGTCCACACTATCATTTTCATATATACCTATATCTAAAGAAGTATGAACATGTAACAGACTCTTTTGATTAAATATTGGACACATTATAGGTCATTTTGTATTTTTTAAAATTACAAGATTTTTTTGTTATTGCATAAGAATTAGAATTATTGTTTGACAATATTTATAAACATTTCTTATATACATAAAAATCAAGTCAATAAAATTGCTTGGAATTGTATTTTTATTGGCTTTTATTTTTATACAGTTGGTCTTTATATATATATATATATATCAACGGATTTTTGGTCCAATAATACTCTTTGTCTTGTGAAAATTTTATTTTTTTGAGATCAAGAGTTGAAGTTCTTCTCCTCTCTCCCTCTCCCCCTCCCCCCAAAAAAAAGAGAGAGAAGAAAAAAATATGTAAATAAATATATATAAAGTATTATATTTTTATTAATTGAAAAAAGTAAATTAAAATTAATTCTTTAAGTGTCCACCCTAGACTTAATTCTTGACCCCGCCACTATCTAAGCCCTTTCTTAGTTCCGTCCATGATTTAGACCTAAAATCATTATCGCGTACTAACTCAACCGTTTAGCTAAACTATGAGTGGTGGAATTAAAGTGGTGGAATTAAAGGGGAAACAAAAGAAGTTATAGGTAAAAAAAAAATGTTATTTGAACTAAATTTGTTGATCTCATAAATTATAATTATTAAATTAATATTGAATTTCAACTAGTAGTAGAGTTGCTCTCAATCCAATAACACAATAAGCTCTAAATATTGGCCTGCAGATAATTTACCACAAAAGCGAAGCCGGTGACGGTGGCCCATGAGTTGGCAAAGGTGGAGCCGGCAAGCTCGAGCTCTCCAAGGTGACCTGCGAACATGAGCGCTGCAGAAGGAATAAAGTAGTAGCACACATGTGTGAGTATCACCGGTAAGGCAAGCATGGCCTGTGTTTTAGATTCCTCCACGTCCAACACCTTCTTCCGCCACCACCACCACCCATTATTCTTTGTTTCACCTGCACCACCACCAGTCTCCGGCGGAGGACAACCACCTGAACTAATATTCACAGACATCTCTCTCTCTGGGTGTATGTGTGTCAGTAGCTAATGATTCGGTACATTTATTCCACTATGATCGTGCAGCTTTAAGTTTAATCATGAAATAAAATATGATGAACACATTCGGAGCTCTCATGCACACACACACACCCCAACACATATATATATATACAAACAGAATAATGTATCATGTACATCCACTTCTTTTGGGAAGGGACAGCAGATCGCAACATAGTAGCAAATGCAGATCCTATTTGTAATGGAAAAAATAAAAAAAAACTTCGTCTAAGCCAATCCCTCTTGCTCCGTGGCAAACAAATCCGATCATATCCTTAATGGTTTCTGACTACTATTCAACTACTTCAACCAACCAATAAAATGAGGAGAACACTAATTTGGTATCCTAAAGTCGAGGGCTGAGCCAGAATATTCTTCTAGGGTGGGCCCTATAATAAGTTTTAATTTTTCTATCCATTAATAAAGAGTTAGATAATATATTTTTATCATATTACATTATATTTGATACTCAAATTTCAATGGATATAAAAGTACCAAAAAGTGGAATAAATTGTGTAAACTAATAAAGGAATGCTCCTTTATCTCAATCTCTCTTTCTTAGGTGGTGACCTGGTTTGGTCAGATTAAAATACTCTCATTAGATAAATATATTTATAGTTGGATCTTTCTAGCTCCAATTTATTATGAGATTATAAGTTGTGACCCTAATTTTCATGTACTTGTAATTGCGCGCAGTTGGACAGACGCATTTCCCCTAGATTGAAAGTAGAGATCTTCCCCCATATGCTAATTTTGTGATTGAAAAGTTGTTAAACATATATGATGGCACCTTAAATATGTCTAACGTTAAGCTCGATAGCTCGGATCATGCTTTCTTAGGTCAGGAGTTCAGTTCACGTAAGTTGCCTATAGATCTCGACTTCAGATCTCGAGCTCCCTGCATCTGCACCTCAAGGAAGACAGTATAGAAGACAACTGGTTTCCACCAAGCATCACCTCAATAGCAACAGGGATCACACCATGGATCAAGCGAAGCTTGGGGCCATCTATAAATAAGGGGCATAACCCCCAAAATTAAAGACAAGCAATTGTAGCCTTACTCAAATACTCCTGTAAAATCTCCCATTATGAATATATTCCCTAGGATTAAGAGACTCATTTGAGAGTGGATTAACCGAACTCCCGAATTGGTGAACTACAATAAACCGTCTGTGTAATAATCTCATTCCTCTGAATTACTCAGTATCTATTGAGTCGATAATTCTACTCTGTCGTGCTATAAGTATCATCAATTGGCACCATCTGCGGGAACGAATGTTCCTGTTAAAATTCTACTAATCATCTTTAGTAATTAATGATTTCTACGGGCAACATGAGCAGAAGTCAGATGAATCCCCTTAGATTACAAAACCAAAAAGAAGTTGTCGTCGAAAGACAATAGGAAAATCTTTGTGATTTCTTGCTTATTCCTGAGGTCGATCCTCCCATGGTGGATCCTCCTCCGAACAATGAACTTGAGGCCCTTCGCCTAGCCAACCAATGCCTCTTCCAGCAGAATGAAGAGTTGTTGAGTCTCCTTCAGCGTCCCCAAAGGGCACAGCCAGCCCAGGATAATCCTCGACAGGGAGAACAACAACACATCAACCCCCTGAGAGACATCACTGAGGGGGATGAGCGTAGCCAGACAATGGCCAATGCCCATCATCAAGCTCATAGGGATTAGGACAACGAGGAAGTACAAAGTCAGAATGGGGGAAACTACAAGAATGAATTTCCTTAACATCAACAGGAGAGAAAGGAACAGTATTAGGAGCAACGTTTCAAGAAAATTCAACAAGTCTTAGATCTTCTGTTGACTATGGAGGAGGCTGTAAGAGGCAACACCAACACCAACACCAACAGTCTTAAATCTTCCACATGAAGGAGGTTGTAAGAGGTAAAACCCCAGTGACTATGGACGCCTTGCATCAGCAGACTGAGTCTCTCTTTACTGCACAGGTGCTGCACTTTTTTCTTCCACCAAAGTTTAGAATGTCTTTGATAGAGACCTTTTGATGGGACAAAAGATCTCATGGATCATCTTAATACCTATAAAAATCAAATTGAGCTTCATGGGTATCAAGACCCAGTACATTGCCAAGCTTTTTTCATCACATTACAGGGTTCACCCTTAGCATCGTTCAAAAGGCTAACCCCAGAATCCATCTCCTCCTTCAGGGAGCTCTCCATCTCATTCGTTTCACACTTTATAGGAGCTCGGACTTATCAAAAGTCCAGCTACCACTTGCTGAATGTAAAGCAAGGACCCAATGAGACCCTACGAAACTATGTTCTGATTTTCAATTCAGAATCTCTAAAAGTAGATGTCCCAAATGAAAATTTTTCCCTCACTGCCTTCATTGTCGGGCTGGGTATCTAGTTGAAGGACTTAATGTTCTCCATCTCCAAAAACCCACAAGCTAGTATGACAAAGGTCCTTGCCAAAGCAGAAAAATATATCAATGGTGAGGAAGCTCTCCTTTCCAAGCCAGGGAACTCGGCCACACACAAGGAGAAGGAGAAAAGGAAGGACCGAAGTCCTAGGAATGAGAGAAGTCGAGACAGGTCTCCACAAAGAGATGGAGATTGCTCTCCAAAAAGAAGAGCAGACATAAGAGATCGCATGGGTCCCCCACCACAGGAGTTACAATCAAAATCCGCACCACAATAGTTCACTTCCCTCAACGCCACAGTGTCTCAGGCCCTCTATGAAGTACATAATGAGAAGTTTCGGAGATGGCCACCTCAAATGAAAGCAAACCCTGCAAAATGGGATGCGATGAAATACTGTGAGTATTACAGGGACCATGGCCGCCTCATAGACGATTGTATCCAGCTGAAGAAAGAAATCGAGTTCTTGATTCAAAGAGGGCAACTACGCCGCTTTGTAACGCAAGACAATTAGAGCGGAGCTCACCCACCCCCAACACCTCAGCAGCAAGTTCCTACATAGCACCAACAGCCTTTGGGAGAAATTAGAGTAATATTAGGAGGATTTGCTGGAGGTAAGGAATCCAGCTCAGCCAGGAAAACCCACATGCGCAAGGTCCAAGCTAAAAACTTACTTATTGGAGATACAAGTTATGTCCAAAGAACCTTGGCTAAGCATGGACACAATATTCTCGAACCAGTGAGGACTCACCTGCTCAGATTCTCAGGAGAGAGGGTGCTACTCTTGGGCTCAATCCATCTTGTCCTCACAATTAGAGACCTACCTTGTCAATCCACCACCACAGTATACAACATTCTGCTGGGGAGGCCTTTCCTTAATGCCATGAGGGCTATTCCTTCTACCTACCACCTCGTAATGAAGCTTTCTACCAAGAATGGCATTGGAGTGGTCCGAGAAAACCAATGAGTAGCACAAGAATGCTACATGGCGTCTATGAAAAAGAAAGAGGTCAAGACTATACAAGTAGATGAGCTCGACAAGAGAGATGAGCTGAAGACAAGACTCATGCCTTCACAAGAGCTGGAGTCTGTCCAACTCGATGAAGTACTAGAACATTTGGTATGCATGGGATCAAAGCTGCCCAAAGAGGTTAAGGACCTCCTTAACCAATTTTCCAGAAAGAATAAGGTGTTTGCATGAAAATAGGAGGATATGCGGAGGATTGACCCCTCAGTCATCACGCACAAACTTAGCGTGAACCCAACCTTCAAGCCCATCAAGCAAAAACAAAAGAGTTTTACCCTAGAGCACCAATAAATGATTAAAGAGGAGGTTTGCAAGCTTCTCCATGCCAAGGTCATGAGGGAGGTAGATTGCCTGACGTAGCTAGCCAATGTGGTCTTCATCAAAAAATCCAACGACAAGTGGAGCCTCTGCATCAATTTCATCGATCTAAACCATGTCTGCCCCAAAGACAGCTTCTCACTTGCCAGAATTGATCTAATCGTGGATGCCACAATAAGGCATGAGCTCCTAAGTTTCATGCATGCCTTTTATGGATACAACCAAATCAGGACGGACCCCAATGACCAAAAAAAGACTTCCTTCATGACTGAGCAAGGGACGTACTGCTACTAGATTATGTCATTTGGGCTGAAGAATGCCGAAACCACTTACCAGCATTTGGTGAACTGTATGTTTCAAAAACAGATTAGAATGTCAATGGAGCTGTACATCGATGACATGCTAGTTAGTCATTGAAAGCTAAGCTTCATATGAAACACCCCAAAGAGTCTTTCCAGATCCTTAAGAAGTACTAAATGCACCTTTGGGATCTCCGCTAGAAAGTTCCTGGGTTTTATTGTCAATAGCCAAGGAATAGAGGCTAACCCAGAAAATGTCAAAGTTGTAATAAACATGCAACCACCCTCAAACACAAGAGAGGTTCAACGTTTAAATGATGGGCTCAGCCCAAACTAGGCCCAAACCACAGACACAGACCAGGCTAAGATCATAGATATAAACCAAACCTAAATCACAATTGCAGACCAGGCCAAGGTCACAGATGCAAAAGCTCATCACAATTTCAATTGGACTATGCACAGCACGTAAAGACCAACCAAGCAGCTGGACAAATAAATGCAAACAAGCCACCATTACCTAAGCCACTAAAATAGAGACCGTTAGGAGCTATATCACCCGGTGGTGCCAATCAAGGGAGAGTGTTTGCATTGACTCAACCGGAGGAAGATACTTCCAATGCCGTTGTGGAAGGTATTGTTCTTCCCTATAATTCTTGGGCCTGAATCTTATTTGATCTCGGTGCTACTTATTCATTCATACACACTACATATGCTCTTAATTTGGGATTGAATGTTGGTAAGTTAGAACATGTCTTGAGTTTTGACATGTTTACAGGAGAACTGTTGGATACTAGAAGGGTGTGTAGAAGTTGTCTGATTCGAATTGACGAGCAAGAGTTAATTATAGATTTGGTTGTGTTAGATATGAAGGGGTATGACATAATATTTAGGATGAACTTATTGTCTACCTTCCGTGTGGTAAT